ATATATATATACATTATATTTTCAAAGATAAAATGAGGAAATTAAAAGTTGCTGTTCGACCCTCCTAAAATTCGTAGCTTTGTATCTGTAAGCATTTTAAGACAATGCCAACTATTGTTACGGCATCAAGACATTTGTCACTCTGGCACTAACGACCAGGAAATTGTAGCAATTATGCTCCTGTTGTAAAATGTCCTGATTTCACAGAATTGTGCCATTTCAGACTTCAGTGTGAACCCTTTGTGCTTTAATTTCCTCTAGCAATGGCAAATGAGCGTTGGACTGAGTGACGATGACCAGATGTTTTCCTGTTCAGTATGGAGGTAACTTTCAAAACAGTGTTATATTGGTTTTTGGTGGTTCTACTTAATATGCAATACCAAAAATGAGGTTTACTCAGAAGTACAAGCAAATCTAATCTCGGTTTTCTGTGTTTTCAAACATTGTGGTGTAATTTGAGATGAAAGAGGGAATGATATTGATTTTTCTCTGTCATTTTTTTTCACGATAGGCCCCAAGGGAAGTCATACTTGTTTTTTACCCAGTTCAAAGCTGAGATAAAAGGAGCCAAGATTGAATATGCCACCGCATATGTAAGTATCATATTAACTTTAGCTATTCTTTATGACCTGACACCAAATCAACTGAGTGAAACATTCAGCAATCCATAGAATATATGAATCAATATGAAGAAATGTGCTTTTAATGCGCTGGCGTATTTCATCAACCAAGAATATTCAGATGATAACTTTTTATTTGTGTGCTTTGCACATACAAAGAATTGGCACAGGTTTTTGAAGATCTTGTTTAAAATTTGTCCTTAGTCGTGACGTTGACATTTGCCGCAGATCAAACCTTAATTCAGATTCCTAACGCTCATCGCTCTCATTTCAAAAGCAGTCAGCCCTTTTTGTGCAGGTGTTGCATATCAAGACTTCATGAAAACATCTTTATCGTCAGATTAAATTGAAATTCTCAGTAGCGGGATGACAGTGATATCGTGGTGGCCTTGTTCCCTGTGTAAATGTTTGAAACAAGTGCTCAATAGACTCCATGTCTCTTTTTGTTTTCTCAGTGAGGATCTCTTTGTTATTCAGCCCACTCCTCTAGGCTTCTCCGTTAATGTCTTCATTCTCTCTCTTTCTCTTCCTCTCAGTCCCAGACGGCCGTGGGTGGACAGAGGGATGTTGCTTTGAAGGAAGAAGAGTACAGTGTGTCAGAGTCTTCAGGTGAGTCTGCATATTCCTACTTCCAGCAAGGTTGACGCAGCAATGGGAAAAAAGCCTGGAAATGTCAGAGAATTAAAAAAAAATCTTGGCAATTTCAATATTGAATATAAATGTTTCTAATCAAGCACATCTTTATTCTGTCATTCAGTGACCCACAGAGAAGGGGCATTCCATTCCGAGCTTTCCAAGCTCACTGTCATTGGTCGGACACGCCATGATGAACTCTGATTGGCCCATCCGAAAGAGGATTGTCCCATCACTTGAGGACATTAATTTGACAGCTACGGACACTCTGGCACTTAACTGCTCACTGTCATAAGTCAAGCAAAGGAAATCAAACCACGGGAAGTTATGAAAGAAAGAACTTCCTGTGATAGAAAATTCTACAGAGATTTCCTCTAGAGGCATCATTACATTAAGAACTGGACTGATCATCTAAGGGAGGTAGATGAAAAGTCTATTATCGGACAGTGTACATGCACATTTATTCATATTTGTGAGGTGATATGAAGGCTTCTTCAAATTAAGTTCAGAGCAGTAGATTGATTTCTATTCCTGGCAGCATTTATGGGTTTAGGGTTTCAGCCTGACTTTGACTTCATACCTGCAAATCTGATTATCATGAGCGCATTCATGCTCATACTTACTTTCTTAAGCTGGTGTAATGGCACGCTTGTAGAGAATTTCCGCTAAATCTTTGGGGTATGTCAGAATCCTTTGATTATTTCTGTGGTGAAGGAAAAGACAGAAAAACAGTTACTTTAGTTCCTTTTTTTCCCCCAATTGTGGTTTATTCTGATAGCTGATGTACTGGAATTTTTAATAAATCTTTTCAGAACTTTTAGGTTCGACTTGTATTCATGTTTTTCATAAAGTAAATGTGAATTATCTGTTTCCAAGCACCGTAATCTCAGAATCTGCAGACATCTTTTGCATTTTATTGCACTTGAGTGAAATTTGTATAATTCTGCTGCATGAACTTTACTTACACTAAAATGTGTTTGAAAAAAATCTGCAGAAATCCTTCTATGTGCAGATTCTGGTCATATTGTGGGATTTGTCCACTCAGCTCTGCAAAAGGACTGTCAGTACCACAAATGTAGATATGAGCATCTGCACCATGTCATAATTCTCATTGTCAGCAGTTCTGGAAATTAATGTCTTGAGCCGAAAACGTGACATTTTACCTACATTAGATTCTGTGCCATTAGACATTAAAAAAATAAAAATAAATGCCAGAAAAGGCTTTATGCTGTCCTACATCTTTAAAATGCTTGAAATGAGCATTGCAATACACATGAGGGAGACAAAATGCTGTAAAAGTACCTTTCGCCCATTTTCATTTCAGTACCTGTTGAAAAATGCCTACATTTGAATACTAAGTACTGCCGCATTGTGTTTTTGCTAAAATATCCTCAGGATGTGTATCTGAGAACATCATATTGCTAAGGCAAGACTTCAAACACTAGACTGGAGTTAGGAAAGCAATAAAAAAAAAAAAATCCTTTAACAGATGGGGGTTGCTGGGAGATTGGAACTGTGATTGCGTCCCATTCCAGATGTCATCTAAGGCTAGAAATAATCTCCCGCTACCTTCGGCTTGCCTCTGACGTACAGTATTTCTAAGAAGTGGTCCCCAGTGACCCATGTCACTCTCTAGATTTATTAGTACATGATGTTTCTGTCGTGTCCTCCGTATAGACCTAAAGAGAAAATGTATTACAGGTTCACCTGCGGTCTAAGAGACTTTCCGTTCAATAAATTGCTGCTGCACTCTGAGTTATCGGGTCCCATAAAGACCAAACTTACCGCAAAGGTGCCTGTAACACGGTACACCATGTAGAGTGTAATGCTCCACATTGTACCCTGAAGCCACGGTCTGCTCAAACAATGGTCGAGAGCAGTTTCCGTCTAAAGGGGTAGGGTGGCGTCTTCTGACCTTTGTCTTTTGCTTTAGGATTCACTCTTCCTGTTGTGCTGGCGTAGGGGTAAGGAGGAGGCTTCTGGCTACGGTGCCTTGAAGCAATCCCTGATGTATCTCTTTGAGAAATGACCAACTCCTGAGCTGATTCCCGTTTTTGGCCTGCATCATGCAGCCCTTGATCTTTTATGGGATATGCTGGTGGGGCCACAGATGAAGTTGGTGTTTTGAGGGATGACTTGTCAGAACAGACTCCTTGAGATGATGCCACTTTGGTGTCTATCCTTCCTGAGTGGCATCCTTTGAAAGTGTCCCCTGGTTCTTCATTGCCCATATCAATGTCAGCCGTCAACAGGTCTATCTTCTGGACCACCTGAATTCCAGGGGAAGACAAAGCATTGTTTATTTAGGTTTTAATGCAAATAGAGTTTTTATCAGGGCAAATTTCACGCAAGAGTGGCAACAGGCTAGTTTACAAGATTATGAAACTGCGGCAGAAAGCTGAGAGCGGACAGCTGACGTTTCTTGCCTGTCTGAGGGGACTAAAAGCCACCGGCCAACGTTCCTCTCCCACGTTGAATACATTTGCTAAATGAAGCGGATCAGACCAATCCTGCATTTAGTTTCACTCTCCGCTCACAGAAGAGAAATTGCCCAATGTGCAATAAATTCAGGGGCCTCTATAAACAGTATTCATTACTGATATGAAGATTAACATTAAAACAAAATTCATGGCCCGTGTGTTATCTAAAGTACGACCATTAAAAGTATCCGGCAGTTGATGGATAGTAAAGAGTTTGGGACTTAACTAAACAGAACATTTAAATGCCTCCCTTTGTTGAACTCATTATGAAGAACATCTGTTAATATCCCCAAGTGATAAATAAACCTTTACCTCCTTTATTTCCAGATGTATCTCTTTCAGGCCATGTAGAACCTCCTCGAGATTCACAACAACTCTTTGGATCTGGTCCCGAATAGCTCTTTGCGAGTGCTTAGAGCTGAAAGCGTAAGACCCTCTTCCTGGTCCACTGAGATCCCCTTGGGCGACCTTTGCTTGACACTTAAGGTGCTTAGAATTGGTCTTGTTGACATCTTTGGTAGACAGCATAACTTCATGCACCAGACTGGGTCTGTTAAATTCTTGCATGACACGTCCCAGGCATCTACTTAAAGTTCCCTGTCCGTTAGAAGTGCAAAGTTCTGCATTCTTATTAAAGGTTGAATTGTGAGCGGCACTTGTGTCCATCCAGTCCAATGCATGTTGTTCTGTAAGCAGGGCCCCTCGTACAGAGCCTGATTGTTGCTCCGCTGCACAAACAGGCACTCCACAGTTTCCATGACCTCTGAACTGTGTTGGCGCGTCCAGAGCACACTTCCTCAAGAAGGGGTGTGGCTCGATCTGGTGCCGGTGGACCACAAAGCTGCATTCTCTCAAGCTGTAGTTCACAGAGACGCTGTTATGTTGCAGGCCCTTCCCTGGAGGCCGATTCCACTGTACGCTGGATAACTCTGTCTGACAAATCTGGCCAGTCACGTCTAACCGTGCATGACCCCCCCGATTAGCTAAATGTTTCTTGGCAGTATATCCATTGAGGGGGGAATTCTGTTGCTTTGGTCCACAGGTGTTCGTTGCGTGGTCCCCAGTCCCAAAATAGGCAAGGATGTCTGCTTGGGGTCTTTGAATTCCATTTTGTAGTTGGTTTGAAGTGGTGGGTCGCATGCGTAGCTCCCCGACCCCTTTTGTCTGGGAGAACATTCTGCGGCCCAAGAAGGGGACTCTCGAGAGGACGTGTCCCTTCTTTAAGTGTCCCGGCTTTGTCATTACCAGGAGATGTTTTTCTCATCTGTCCTGTCTTTAAACTTTCTCTTGCATGTTTCTTTACTCTGACCTCCACCTTCTGGTGCGTTGTTTTCTCCCACAGATGTTATCCCGGTGTGTTTTCTTCCTCTGGACCCTTGCCCTTCTTTCTCTCTTACCTCACTTCGCTCCTGTCGTCGGCGGCGGGCCTCCGTTTTCCACCCTCTCCCTCAAACTCCCTGCATTTCTGTTCCACTGGCTGTTGCTTGCTTCCTGCCTTTGACTCCCTCACCATCCCCTCTCTCTCGCTCGCTCGCACTGCGCTGCCTCCCTTTCTGGTTCATTTTTCCTCCCACTCCCTCACAGCTTTTCCTCTCTCCCTCTCTCCCTCTCGTTTACCTACTTGCAGGAACTCGTCGTACCTCAATCAATGAGGGGGGTCGTGGTGGGGAGGTTTAATCCAGTGCTGATGCTGTGTGTCCATGTATGTTCCCAGCCTTGGGACTGATCTGATTACTCCTGATTTGCCTCAGTACGCTATAACTACTCCCAGGATTTTATAGCAGGATGCCAGGGGAGGCACACTCCCCCTCTAGTGCTTTATGGGGCAGCACAGGCAGGGCTAGTCCCTAAAAAAAACGCATGAGGATGTGACTTTTAAAATTAATAATCTGGCACACTGCAGCATGAAAATACTTCTTAATGTCTTTGGTTTACTTCTGGTTTCTCTGGTGTGTAGGGGTTCTCAGAAAGTGCATATACTCAAGTTTTAATTCTACATTAGGAGCATTTGAATTGCATTTTTAAAATGTTTTAGTAACCACAACAGTTTTATGAGCTATATAATGACCTATAGAAAAATGTAATTAAATTGGAAAGTCAATGTATATGAAGAGTTCATTTGCAAAAACCGATAAACGACACTTTAAAAAAAAATTAGCTGATTGCCGTGCATTATTCTCCACATATAGCGCGATCTGAACCCTAAACACGTTGTCAAAAAAGCCGGTTTTGTCCACTTTCAAGGCATCGCGAGTTCACGTTTTACAGCAGAAGCCGACAAGCGCCCTTGTTGTTTTTGAACAGAAGCCGATAAGTCCATTTTAGCGAATCAGCGCACTGTATTCAGGTCAGGTGACAAGGCTACTTTAAAACAACCCAACTGCAGTTTGATTGATATTACTTGGAATGCGCAATAAAAAAACGTGATTTCTGAAAAAAAAATTAAAATGGAGTTATCGGGTTTTGCAAATGAACTCTTCATATATTTTCCACAGTTTTAAGTATTTCTTTGTTGTGTGACTGAAGTCCCGTGGAAACATTTATTTTCTTCATACTGCATTTGGTTCAGTGTTAATTCTGAAAGCAAATTTTGATTTCGATTTACTCAGTCTTTGGACTAAAATGCCATTTAGTTTTAGTCATATTTTAGTCATCTGAATTGTTTTAGTCTGGTTTTAGTCAAATAATATTTTAAGACTTTAGTCGACTAAATCTACAGTAGATTAAGTCGGCTGAAATCTAATGGGTTTAGTTACAGTGTAATGTATTTATTAATAATTTCTCTAAAATTTCCAAACTTATTATATATTCCCGGAGAAAACATATATTAACCTGGTAATATGAACATGCAATATAGACACAGATTTAACTGCTCTGACACATAACATGTCTTTACCTCAAAATTAAATAAAACCACTTCTCATAACATAACATGGTCCTCTTTTCAATGAAATACCAATGGTTATTTAATATGCATTCTTTATAACATTTATATAGATTAAATTTAGTTTAATCCTTATTATGGCTATTAAAAGTGATTCAATCAAGAGCAGTGAGTGATTTTCTCTTTTGTTGATTCATTAACAATAAGGACAGACAACAGCAACTAAATTAGGCTGCTGTCCCTTTAAAACTGACTGCATGGATTCAATACACTGGTATACATCCGATATTCTCCCAACAGTTTTCATTCTGGACTGGATCTCTTCCCAGTCGCCCCTCCCTAACATTTTCATCTCATTTTTATTCGTTGACAAAATTCAATAGATTTTCATAATTGTTTTTGTCATTCAAAAAGTTTTTATTTTGTTATCGTCTTGTTTTTGTCTGTGAAAAAATGTTGTTGGCGAAAATTATGACGAAAATTACTCATCAACGAAACATTGGTTTCAGTTCTTTTCTCATTTCCACATAAACTGAAAGATCACTCTGAGAAAGGTCTGAAATTCTACCTCTAACACAGTCTCTGATTCATATCAACTCAAACTAAAGTACATACAGAAAAAGAAAAAAAAACTTACATTGGGACTGCATTTACTAACTATATTTTATTATAAACTACTACTCATGGCTTTGATATTGCAAGATGATAAACAATTACAGATACTATACAATAAACAACTGAAAAAATTGTTTCATTTTTGTCTCATGACCTCATTACATCGTATATAAATATATTAAATTTGCTTATTTTGTACTTTTACATTTTGTGTACTTTTGGCAGTCTGATCAAATAATGTAAAAAATGTGGATTTAATTGTTTTCAGTTCATTCATCACTCTCAAGGTCAAGTTGAGGACGTTGCATTTTGGGATACAGCATTGCACACAGTGCATTTTGTTGTATACTGGATGTCAGAGCTAATGTAATGCAAACATACTCCAAGGATCGTAATAGCAGCATGTTAGCATGCTATTCTAAACAAGAAACTGATTTGAATACAGCAGTTTGGTGATGCTAATGGTGCATAAATTTCACTTTAAGAAAAATAAAAGCAATAAAAATCTTATGTATAACATTAGGTCTTGCAGCCGACAGCGACATGACTAAAAAGACACTGTTCAATGTTACTGATAAACAACTTGAAAGAAGCAACAAAGATGTTATCGTCCACGTTGCTTTTGTGGGCTAACGTTCCCAGAGCGCTGGTCAGAGGGCCTTCTGTTTGACACCAGATACATCAGAAAGCAGTGCTTTGAGACGTGACTCTCACGTGGAGCGCGAGCCATAAATAGTGCAAAACGCGGCTGTTCATTTGAAATTCATTTTGGATGCATAAGTGCTGTTACCTGTCAAGACTGATGACACTATATAACACTAATGGTCTGCAGATGCTGTTCAACAGCTGTAGTGTGTTTAGACTCAGACACTTACACTATGCAGCACTAACTCTATGCTCGTTTTCTTTTTTGTACTGAATTTTGATAAGACAAAGCACCGGATCTTACAAGCCTCAGCTAGCTGATTATAATACATGCTATAAATGTGATTCCCATCTTTGTCTTGTGGTCAGATGGTCATTTCTACACCTCTGGTGGCGGTTACCAAGACAACTGACAGGCAGCCGAGTAGGCAGCCATGCGTTTTTGCAGGTTAGGTGTGAAGGGACATTGCGGCGAACGGGTCAATGCATAATGTCACGGCCAGCTATTAATAACTCAGAAATTCCACTTCTAATAAATAAAAATCAGGACAAACAAGGTGATTTAACCCACCAAGCGGGGTCCGTAATGTAATGTCACTGATAGTACAACCTTGAGAGCCGTACAGAATATCAATTAATTCTTTATATAGGCTATGTATTTGTTATTATATAAATAATTGCTTTACATTCACATTTGCTTTTAACTGAAAACAAACACAGCAGGTTTTAGATCCCCAGAGGACACTCTAGAGGAGAGAAAAGCGAAGGAGGAGGAAAAGAACTTGCCAGGTTTAAGAACTTAAGTCCCTGGTAACTGACACGTCTCAGGTATCAGCCGGAGGGAGATCGAGCATCACCAGAGAGAATAGAAGCTGTGTCGGAGCGACACACCGAAACAGCCGTGAGAGGAATAGCAAATGAAACCAGTGTCATTTTCACACATTTTTATATTTTATATATATATATATATATATATATATATAGTCTCTCTCTCATCAGGCCCGTGAACATCCCTGCGATTGGTTTCAGGCTCGGGACTGGCTCAGCGAGAATTAGGATTATATTTTTATACTGATACCACACTGTAAACACTGCCATACACAGACATATTTCTTAGCATGAAACCATCAATATGTTCAGAATTTGTTTTAGTGAAAATGAATACATGTTCCTGGTCTTATTGTGAAAGATTCCTCTCAAAAGGGGAAAAATAAATACAAGTCCTTGTAATCTTTAATCTAAATGTAATAACTCTTATTCTGAAATGAATGCCTTTTTTGGCTTACATCACTAAAGCATTTATTCAACCACCTGTCATACGGAGCAGGTCCATTCTTGGTAACGCCCACATTTCACAATCTAATCAATCAATTTTTTTTTATCCTCATAGAATATTATTTTATCCCAAAATACGTCATATTCTAGAAAAAAATGGGTTGGAGACACTGTATTATGTTAATGCTAAACATGCATTGGCAATGTCACAATTCATGTAAGGGGGAACGAAAAAGTTCTGGAAAAAACAATCTGGGATGCCTAGAGAGATTAGCATACTGTAATCCAAGGCAAACATGCTAATACCACTTGGACTCTTTCACTAGATTGTTCTGCATTTCTTCTCATTAAATAAAAACAGAACACATACCTCTTAAGAATGACACATTTATACACACACACACACACACACACACACACCGTATGTATATACATAATTTCTAGAAAATAAAACGGTGTACATTAATAGAACTTGTTTGTGATTAACAAAAATAACCAAGCAAATGTGAATGCTCAGGCGACATCTGCAAAAAGCAAACAAGGTATCCAGTCCTTTATCCGTTTAAATTGGCCCAAAACACCACATTTAAGAGGCATTTGAGACTGAACCCTGAGAGGTTTTAGGATAATCAGAAGGTATGGCTTTCACTGCTGTCAAAGTTACTCAAAAGTTTCGCTTTTTCCATTGTTGATATTTTATTTATTAGATGGAGCTTTACTTAAAAATCTAGTGACAAGACGGCAAATTCAAACAACCCTCTGCTATTGACTTAAAAAGAAAACAAAATAATAATAAGTCCATAGATAGAGGAAAAAAAAAATTGAGGCCAAAAAACAAAATGTTCACTAAGAGCTTTATATAGGCCTTAAGTTATCCCAGAAAGATCCAAATAACTCAAACTTTGTGATTCTTTCAGTTTGTCATTTTGTAAAAAGACAAAGTTTAAAATACTCTAGGTTAAAAAAAAAAGTATACGTACAAACAAAACGTGGGCAGATTTGCAATTACAATGTAAGTCTATGCGACAAGTATACAGCTGCCTCATAGACTTCTACTAAGGGCATTTCTGCATGCACATTTCTTGGTAGCTTTTACAATGTTTTTGTGCCAATCGACATCCTCACCCAGTAAAATATACAAAATAATCTGTCAAAACTGCTGGAGCTAAAACAAACTGATGGCAGAAATGGGACATTGAGACTTTAAGTCGTTGAATTCTTTGTTCATACAAGTTAAAAACAATCAGAAGTGACGTATCAGGGAAATAACGGCTCAGTTGTGTATA